TCCAGTTGGTGTGTCGCACTTGCCTAGGGGTGGTGTTGCTTATGTTGTGTTCGCAGGGGGGGGGGGGAGGCGGTGGGTTCAAGTGGTGCATGGGCAGCTACGACTCCGTGGACGCAAGTATGGCCGCGTAGCTGCAGGTCAGCACGTCTGAAATCGCTCGCTGCGAAGTTAGGTGACCTCATGCAGCGAGGCCTTGAACAAGGACACCAGACACCGCAATATAATGGCTATTGGCAATAAGAATATTCCTAGCTTACTAGTTGTCTTCGATCAGCCTCACTCAACCCCAGGTTTGGGGCCACCAGAAGCTCGAACCCGCGTACTTTTAGTTATTGATCCAACTTTCTAACCATCGACCCATAGGCTCGCCCTGCCGACTGCGATAGGGTATGTTAACTTTCGTAGAGAGTCCTCACTGATCGCGTTACAGGACATACTCGTTCCGTTGTGCGACTGCCTACGGAGTTCTAGGTCGAGTCCCGAAGCACAACGGAACGAGCTTATTCTATGACGCGGTCCGTGATCGTCCTCTTCTATGGAATTTTTATATCGAAGCATCCGACATGTGTCGGTTTTGCTAAACAGTTAGTCAAATGAACCTTAGTTATTCTATACCAACAGTTCGTGTAAATAATCAGGCAAGTTTAATCTTTCAGTTCGTGACCCTCTAAGCCGTCAGATTTGCCAACCTGTTTATTTTCCTGCCCCAAAATGAATGCGCATGCTAACTGTCTGCGTGTGACTTATTGCTACCAAAGGTAAGGAAGATTGGAATGACCATTTTTTGACTTACTTGCCATTGTAAGCCAGCCACAACCGATAGCCGGAAAGACCTTAGGTTTGAACCTAAGTTTAGTTCTTAATTGAATAACCGCTATACCTGTTACTCCAATTAATAAGCGAGGTCGCTTACTTATTGTCTGTATCCTTCAAAACAAGCCTTCTCCTAACCTGTTACTTTTTTGGACACTGGTGCCTTTTCTCGTCAACAGGATAGCTCGTTGTCTCATTCTGACGCTTGCGCCTGTCTGCGCGACTCCCATACCTTTCCAATCGAGCACGCCCGAACCCCCCATGTCAGCGTCGTTTCAATGCTCTCGGGCTGCACCGACCTTCGGTTGGCCGCCGCTCTGGCTGCAGAACACGCCGGTCACCAGCCCCAGCCGAACTCGTTACCCGGGACAACCGCTCCCAACGCAACATTCTCGCCGTCGCCCCTGACCCTTATTCAGAAGAGCGCTGGTGCAGCTGATTCCATGCCGAGTCCGGGCGCTACGACCGCAACCGAGACGCCCAGCTTACCCCTGCATCAGGGTGGAGAGACTGAAGGTGCCGAAGACGAGGAGGATGTTGAAGTTGAAGACGAGGAGGACGATGACGATGATGACGATGAGGACGAGGAAGATGAAGAAGACGAGGACGACAATGCCCACGCTGGCGGAACTGAGCGTCTGGGTCCGCAGGTCATTCATGTGACGGCACCCAGCCAGCCGCCCACCACGTCAGCCCTCTTCACGCACTGTCAGTACTCCTATATCGGATCGGGACGCTGGCAGGTCTACGTGCAAATGTGGTTTGTTGAGGAACGCCTCAAAAGAGAGGTGTGTATCTGTTGGTATGCCCGTGTAGTTTAGTTTTCTAAAGTATTAATTTTTCCTCTATTGCTGAGTGTGTCTCCTCAAAGGCCCACTGTGCACCCACTTAGTACACGTGACCATCTAGTTTACTCTTGACCATCATCCTCCCCCTCGGCCCCAGTAGCATGATAACCAATACTATCGTTGGTGTTCATGGTGGCACTCTCATTGATTTTTCTTTGTCGTGGTTCACTTCCCACCGCGTCCAATTTCTACTTCGATCACCGTTGTTTCTCACCCAGACGTATACCTGTTTGTCCTTCCAGCGAGTTACTTTGACAGGTCGCTATTAACTTCCAAAATCTCATTGCCAGAAGTCTTCAGCGCCCGCGGCCTGCGCCTGAAGCGTATGTGGTCTTTGTCATTCGCAGGCGATTTCAACGTGTGTTACTTGAGGACGAGACCCAACCAACTCGGGTTTCGAGGTGGACGTGAATACGCCAACCAGATATTTACGTTGCGGCGCATTCTTAAATTCCATCATGCCATCATCAGCATCCGGTAGCTGTCTGTTTCGTTGAATTTGTTGCAGCGTTCGACTCCGTTCATCATGAGTCCCTCTGGTATATGATAGAACTTAGCAGTATATCGGCAGAATCGTCTCCATGATCAGGACCTACTATCGTTCGATCACTACGCGAGGTCTGACCCACAACAATTCATCTCAGACGTTCGATGTTCGGTCTGACGTTCGACAAGGTTGTACCCTGTCACCCATTCTGTACAACGACGCCATTGACTGGACTCTCGTAAGCGACGTACGTTGTTCTTGCGTGGTCGAATTTACACTGTTAAGGTCACCCGACCGACCTTCAATACGTTGACGATACCGCCCTGCTAGCCTCAAGCCTTGATGACCTACAGACTACGGTGTTGAGGGTGCATAAAGTCATTAAATCAATCGGTTTGCTCATGAATGCTGGAAAGACCGGTGTTTTAGAGGTACTCTTCGTGACATGATCGAGGCCGGTTACGTTTAACATGATCACAGCCGTTCCAAATGGCCGTAAGCCAGTGTGTATTATCGAGCCTCTCGGACCCAAATCGGAATCCATCATCGAGGCCAACAAAAAAGCGGGGACGAATAAGTAACTCCCGTCTGTCTCATCGTCTGTCATCCACTTACATAATTGACTGGGAAGGGGACCGTGTCATCTGGCAGTGAATGCCCAACGTGTGGAAAGTGGGAGTCAGATCAATATGCTCGCACTGAAGTTTTCAACGAATGGCATTTACTTCTTCAAAAAAACCTGTAATTCGCATTTTCGCCTCTTTTCAGGCTCCTTCTGGCAAATAAGACCTGCTAGCTGACTGCTACCGGTAATCTTTAAGGTAAATATAGTAGGTGGGCTAACTCATGAAATGCCAACCGAAATTCCGAAATGTGTTTTCGCTTCGAAAGGATTAATTAAATAGGGTTGTAAAACTATTGACCATGCAGCGTAGTTCTATAATAATTCAGTTACCGCAGGGTGTTGGGTTTCGAATAAACTTCTTTCCGGCCGCATGCAATAACCACATTCTGCAAAGAATGACTATTTATGTAGCATGCATTTTTCCCATTGATTTTCGACGCCCTTAAAAATTTAATTATATTTTATGGAAAGCATGCATAAAAATATTAATACTTTTGCTCATTCGGTCGAACATTACGTCTTCTTCTAATTCTACACTCGAAGGAAGGGTATTATTCGGTTTTCAAAAAGTTTCTGATTATGAGATTTTTTTAATACCATAAAATGGCCGTTCATAAAACGTCATGTCTCCTCATCAACTAATGTTGCTCGTAAAGTTTCCAATATGGTTCAAATCCATTGTTAAATTTTGTGAACCCCATATACTCCCCTCCTAATACAGTAGATAAATGTATTGTTTTCCGTGCACGGAAAATATACGGCTTGTAGTTCGGAAACCCTGAATGCAAGCGTAACGGCAGATCGAGTTAAAAATTATTCGGGAATTGGAAAAGCTTTTTAAAACCGAATAATACACTTCCTTCGAGTGTGGCATTAGATGAAGACCTGATTTTTGACCGAATGAGCAAAAGAATAATTATGTTTATACATATTTTCCATGAAATATAATTAAAGTTTTAAGGGCATCGAAAATCAATGGGAAAAATGCATGCCACTTAAGTAATCATTTTTTTACAGAGTACGGTTCTCATATACGGCCGACAAGAAGTTCATTCGAAACCCGATGTCCTCCGCTAACTGAATTATAATAGAATTACGCTGCACGTTGATCAGTCTTACAACCCTATTTAATTAATCTTTGCGAAATGAAAACGCATTTCTGAATCTCGATTGACATTTCATGAGTTAGCCCACCTACTGCATGCCTACATCAGTGCCGAAACTCGTGAAACACTGGCTACGCATTTTTAAAATGTCGTTGGGAAACTTACTTTAATGCATGAAACTTGATCGCAGGTTCATTCGTGAATGGTAATGTGCCGGTTTTTGGTTGAACCTCATTGCAACCAGACTCAGAAAGAGTCGTTGTTTAACTAGTGTGTCCTTCTCCCATGGCCTTACGACACCTATTTATCTGTATCTTGTACTTATTTTGTAGGAAGATATGTCTTATTTTCCCAGAGCGCTGCGCTTTAGAAGAGGCATGTTTGGGTTCTAGCAAAATTCACTAATTTCTTTGTTTTTAAAAACAACCTGTGCTGTGGCAACACGTCCATAACCACCTTCCACGGCCTGCCCGCAGCATCAACACGGACGCAGATATTGTCTTTACTCTGTCCGGCTGGCAACAAGTTGGCCCCGAGTTCGCATTCTAACTTCAAGCAGGATTTAAATTGTCCACTTCTTCAAACTGACAACCATTTATTACGAGGGGCGTTTTCCCTGGTCAGAGATTCAGTTTGCAGCGCTCTTTGTCGTACTGATCTAGCAACCTCTCACCCGGAACTAAATTTTGGAAACAACCGTAATCTGAAATCAACGGTTTGATGTGGTCAGTACAGCCGAGGCCGGTCGGCCGGCGTCCTCTTGAAAGCAGGACATGATTGCAATTGCTCAGAGCCAAACTAGACGCTCAGGATGCAATCTTGTCGAACGACAGACCGGATATTGATC